ATGGGATAAAATGTATTCAACATAGTATATGTTCAGAGGGTATTGTCTTTGGATACTTAAATGAGTCTTGGGCTTCAGACGAAATGGTCAGTGGAATTGTGGGTAGAGATGCCATTTCTACACCAAGGTCTCTTTCAGGCACAACAAATACCATAACAACTACAGCTTAATATATTAATATGTAGTCAGTCCCTGCAGACTTTTTGTTCTAAACAAGAGAAAAGGCAGCATTTACATTTCTCCCTAGGGACACCTGCAGTGGCCACTCTGATGGCCACTGAAGGTGCTTCCTGGGGCAATGCTGCACAGTGTCCCAAAATTGCCTAAATAGTGCATCCAGTTGCTGCAGGGACTGCTCTACAATGATGTGGTAGTTCTGTTCAGACTGTGCAGGAGTAGGCCTCTGAATGGCTTCAAAAGTGGCACGTCGCTGTGGGATAATCTGTATTTGGCCTCAAGATGCAGCTTGGGTTAGTGGTAGAGGCCAGTGGAGACCGGAATAACCCCCACTGATCTAAAGGGGGGAACAGGATAGCTTAAGTCCTCTGTGTGTGATTCTTGCTATGGGGTACTGGAGATCGGCTGCCTCCCCCAACTGCTGAGAAATACTAGGCCTCAGAGGCACCTCTGGCTATGCAACAGGAGGCCCTGTGCGGAGTAAGGGGAGGAACCCCGCTCAGCCCCACAGATCAGTAGGATGTGCTATGTGCCAGATCGGGGTGTTGGGAGCAGAGTATATTGCCTTAAAGCTGTGGCAGGAGCTTTCCCAAAACGTGTCCGGCCGCCATAGTTCATGCCTTGTCCCCATGCAGAGTGTTTTGAACAGTGGAAGAGACACTGGGAGAACTGCGTGAGGTTCCAGGGGGCTTACTTTGAAGAAAACTGAAGTGTCATTGTCCTATGTATAATGTTTCTTGTATCTTAAATGTCTCTTTCCTGGCTAATCATGGCAGCATCACTTATGGGTAGCTCCGCCCTAATCAGGAACAGGACAGGACAAAATCAATTAATACGGACCAGACTGGGTATAAAAGGTCCCTCCTCCTTCTATCCCACAGTCTTTTTTTCCTGTCCTTTCAGGACACACAGGATTATTTTATTTTGGGCCACCTTCCCATGTGTACCATGGGCCTCCAGATGAAGTTCAGCCTCTCTTCATCTGAAGAACTCAGTAAACAGCCTGCTCGGGCAGGACTAACTGAGTTTAGTACAGATTAGCATCTGTACTATTATGGGAGAAAGTGTCAATCCATATTTGATGTGGGGTCGGCTGTTGCCTTAAAAATTCCCCTTATGGCATCCAACCCCCCTGATCTGAGGTCAGTACTTGGGAGAAGCTAGGGTAAGTTCTTTGTTTTGGACAGTTTTCTGCTTGTTTGGTTGCTGGGGGTTATACTTTCAGCTTCCTTCTGTTTCTCTTGGGGTGCAGATTATAGTGCTTCCTACTGGAATTTACCTGCATCAGTCTTCTTCTTCTTCTTCTTCTTCTTCTTCTGTGTCAGCCTGGTGCAGGGGCTTCATTTCCTCCGGTCTGTCTCTTCTGTGTTCGGAACTCCGGCGCATGCGCAGTACCGACGGCGTCCGGCGGGTTTTCTGCGCATGCGCGGAATAGTTGCGCGCTTAAAGGGATATCGCGCCAAAAATGAAAATTTTAAAAAATCACTCGGAATTGATCCTTGCTTCTTCCCTGATCTTCTGATGATAAGGAAAGCTGCCTTTTTTTCTTTCAGAATCTGGTTAAAGGTAAAAATCCTATTTTTATTTGTATTTTATTTGTATTATTATTCTTTCTTGCTGCTTAAAATATTTCTTCTGCAATAAGCGTATTATTATTCTAGATGGCTTCTCCCTCTGCCTCAAGATCTCGCTCTAGAAGACATAGGTGAGCCGCATATGTTCTTATTGATTTAAGGGGGGAAAAGAGTGCCATTACAGGCCTATAATATAATGCATATTGGCCTCTAATTTCAGCCCAGAAAAATCTCTAAGAATTCTCCCAGAAAATATAGAGAAAAATCCAACAGATGTGCAAACTGTAACCAAGTGGCTCCTCCGGGAAATAATTTGTGCAGATCTTGCCTGACGGAAGCAGCGAAGGACTGGGATGAGATAAGTTCCCCACAGGCTGACTTAAAGAAATGGATATCAGAAGCAATTGCTGAAGGGTTTAAATCCTCTAGTAAGAGGACTATCCCCAAGCGTCCCAGAGTGGAAAGCTATGTGGAATCAGAAGAGGAATCTGATATGATGGAAGACTATTCAGAGGAGGATGAGTGTGACTCAAAATCACTGGATTCCAGGTCTGTGGATAAGTTGGTTTATCTTATCAGAGACACGTTAAGAATTCCTGAAGAAAGCAGGGAGAAGAAGGAGTCTGACAGATATTTTGAAGATCTGAAGCCTAACAGACCCACCTTTCCAGTTCATTCGACCATCAAGGAGGTAATAGGTGCAGAATGGAATAGACCTGAGAGGAAGGTGACTTTAAAGAGCAAAGTCCCCAGATTATACCCGTATGCACCTGAGGACTGCAAATCATGGATTTTGGTTCCGAAAATTGATGCAGCAGTCATTCACATGGCGAAAAGAACAACTCTTCCCATAGATTCAATGGCATATTTAAGGGAGCCAATGGAAAAGCAATTGGACGCTGACCTGATTAAGGCATACCTGGCCCTGGGATCGGCATTACATCCAGCCATTGCTCTTACCACCTTGTCCAGAGCTCTTAAAATATGGGTTGATAATCTAGAAGAGGATATTGCTAGTGGAGTCCGTAGAGAACACCTGATGGAGGGCCTTACAGATTTAAAACTGGCCACAGAATTCTGTTCTGAAGCTTCCCTGGATATTACTAAAATGGTAGCTAAAAGTATGGCGCTCTCAGTTGCTTCTAGGAGAGCATTATGGCTTCACTCTTGGGGTGCAGATTACGCCTCTAAGGCCTCTTTATGTGCGCTTCCTTTTCAAGGGGACCTTCTATTTGGTAAAGTCCTGGAAGATGCGATTCATAAAGCAGCAGATGGGAGAAAGGCTTTTCTCCCCCAAGGGAAGAGAAGATTTAGTGCTTCCTACTGGAAGGATAAAAAGTTCAGAGACCGATCCTTTCGAGATGTCAGGGCATATAGACCCGGAAGAGAATACTCCAGGAATTCTAATTGGAGAAGCTATCAGTCCTCTTCATCAAAACCGGTTAGAGGAAGAGGATCTAGACCAGCTAATAAAAACTTCTGAATGTTTGCTGGCCCAGCCAGATGTTATAGGAGGCAGACTTCGCTTCTTTTATCCGGTTTGGGCCAGAAGTATTCAAGATACTTGGGTTCTTTCTATCCTCAGGGAAGGATACAAGATAGAATTCAAAGAATTCCCTTCTCAAACCTCCTTTATCCGTTCAAGAGTGGCAAAAGGAAGAAAAGAAGTTGCTCTGAATGACATTATTTCTCAACTACTACGAAATCAGGTCATAGAGAAAGTCCCTTACAGAGAACATTACAGAGGCCACTACTCTACGATATTTTTGGCCCCAAAACCTCAGGGGAAATGGCGTCTAATTCTGGACCTAAAAGTTCTGAATACATATTTGGTTCCAAGAACGTTCAAAATGGAGTCCATTACCACAATCCTGCCCAATATAAAGACAGGGAACTGGATGACTTCTATCGATCTCAAGGACGCCTACTATCAGATAGCTATTCACATCAGTCATCGCCGGTTTCTGAGGTTTTGGATTTCGGGAAATCACTACCAATTCAAGGGACTTCCTTTCGGCTTAAGTCTGGCGCCCAGAACATTCACGAAGATTCTAGTTTCTCTGGTGGCCTTTATAAGGACGAAGAACATCGAGCTTTTTCATTATCTGGATGATTTTCTGATCATAGGTCCTTCCAGTCAGATAGTAAATGTCCACACGTCTATAACCATCAAATGCCTTCAAGATCATGGTTGGCTGATAAACCCCAAAAAGAGTTCTTTGGTGCCTTCTCAGAGGATGATTTTCCTAGGAGCAAATATAGACTCGGTGAATGGCCTGGTATCACTGTCCACAGACAGAAAAGAACGAATAGTGAAGAAGATCAGAAGTCTGCGTCAAAAATCCTACATCACAGCAAGAGATTTCATGAGCCTGTTAGGGTCTCTTACTTCCACGATAGGCCTAGTGAAATGGGCCCAGTGGAGGATGCGACCCATTCAGAGGCATTTTCTCTTACAGTTCAAAGCAAAACCCGGAAATTGGGATCAGAAGATTCGTTTACTCTCGAGAATTTCGAAAGAGCTGTATTGGTGGACAAAAGAAAAACACCTCCTTTGTGGTTTTCCCCTGGAAGAGCCGGTTTGGATGACTATAACAACAGATGCCAGCCTCCTGGGATGGGGAGCACACCTGAACAACTCATGGATTCAAGGAACTTGGTCATGGAAGGAGTCAAAACTTCATTCGAATTTGAGAGAAATGAGAGCGGTTCTCAAGGCATTAATAGGGTTCCGTCCTCTATTGAGGGATGCCTGGGTGAGGATACATACAGACAACAGAGCAGTGGCTTCCTACATAAATCATCAGGGAGGCACTCGAAGTTATTCTCTACTAATGGAATTGTCCCCAATAATGAGGTTTGCGCAACTGCATTTACAAGGATTAAAAGCGGTTTATCTTCCGGGACCAGAGAATTTATTGGCGGATTATCTCAGCAGAACAAGGATTCTCCAAGGAGAATGGAAACTGCACCCAGAATTATTTCACTTGATCACCCTGCGGTGGGGAGTACCCCAGATCGACCTGATGGCTTCGTACAACAACACTCAGGTGAAGAGGTTTTACTCCCTACATGCGGATCATCGAGCAGAAGGACAGGATGCCCTGTCTCTTCCATGGGAATTCGATCTGGGGTACGCGTTCCCTCCCCTACCAATGATTTACCGACTGCTGAGAAAAATATGGAAGGAAGGTCTCAAAGTCATTGCCATCATCCCAATCTGGCCTCGCAGACCTTGGTTTCCCCTGCTGAACAAGATGAGCCTGGAATCTCCTTGGCCTCTTCCTCTCAGACCAAACATCTTAATCCAGGGACCAGCTGTTCATCCCAACCCCAGCCAGCTGAAATTGGGGGCATGGCTCTTGAAAAGGAGAGACTACTAGCTCAAGGGATCTCAGAAGCTGTGGTGACTACTCTCCTTAAATCCAGAAAAGTATCAACTTCTTCCTGCTACCATAAGATTTGGGAAGTTTTTCGTTCCTGGTCTCAAGATCATAATGTGGATTTTCTTCAGCCATCTAACATCATGGGCTAATTGGGCAGAAGTTCCATCTGACGACATCTGTAAGGCAGGTACATGGTCTTCTCCTCTCACTTTCATCAAACACTACAAACTGGATTTGGCATCTTCCTCTATGGCTTTTGGTAGAGGTGTTCTGTCCGCTGTGGAATCTATCTAAATTAAACTTTTTTCAGCATTATCTGGGTTGGAGTTTTTGTTTTTTGAATTTCCCACCCTATGGTGAAGCTTGGGTATTACCCATAAGTGATGCTGCCATGATTAGCCAGGAATACAGAAAATTTTATCATGCTTACCGTAATTTTCTTTTCCTGGCTATTATTCATGGCAGCATCAGCAAACCCCCCCTTGTTATCAGATTTAGCTTTGGAACTAGACTGTGGGATAGAAGGAGGAGGGACCTTTTATACCCAGTCTGGTCCGTATTAATTGATTTTGTCCTGTCCTGATTAGGGCGGAGCTACCCATAAGTGATGCTGCCATGAATAATAGCCAGGAAAAGAAAATTACGGTAAGCATGATAAAATTTTCTGTAATTTTTCATATTACATGGCTGGATACTTTCCAGACAGACCTCGTATACATACACAAATCGTGGAAAGAAAAAAACATCTTACTACAGAACAATGATTAAAAAAAATCAAAAAAAAATCTGTTGTCGGTAAGGATTGATTTTCAGAGGTTCAGTATGTTTCATTTGTACTCTTTACTGTATACGAATGATTCATGGGTTCCATTAATACTCTATTCTCTCAGCCCGTGGGAGATGCCTACAAGCACAGAATGTATGGACAGATACGCAAGGTCATACTGTCCAGACTTGTTATTACTCAATTTTAAACCTACCCCCATTAGAATAAAAAAAAAAAAAAAAGTAAATCGAAAAATTAAGTGCTTTAGACTTCCTGACCACACTTTAAAAATAAATATGTCATACAGTCACTTAAAAAAACAACTAGCCCCTGCGATTAATTTCTTTTTGAGCTATCTTTGTAAATTTATTAAAACACAGAACAAACATAGTCTGGCAGCATTGCATGACCATAATTTTAAAAACAAGGTTTACAAATAAATAAAAAAAAAATTTGGCTACAAGGCACCAAATGAAAAAGATTTTAAAACAAATCAATCATAAACAAAGTATTTGAATCAGTTCTGGCCATCACGGGATATATGTCACCATTGAAGAATATGTCAAACTTACCTGAGTTCCAATAAATTGTTCTTATATCTTTAAGCGTGTATTGCTGTCTTTAAAGCAGGCTTGTTTGAACTGTGATGGACTCTTGGGTTGGCATTAATTGCGAAACACCATTCTATAGTAATATTTATACTGAATAATGTAGTGTATTGGGGGAAAGATAGATCTACTTTAACTATTAAGCCATATGATCTGACTGGTAGCTTGACTATAACAGTAGTTATTAGCTGCCCATATGTACAATAAGAGACACTGGGTTTGTGGCGATTTATAAGTTCTAATGGAAAACAAAGTGATGTTCTGTTAAATCCCCCCTAAGGTATGTTTATAATTAAATCTCTGCAGAAAGCTCAGCTATCCAGACCTCTCTATAGTGCACACTCTGCTCATCTGATGGTTGCCATCAGATCAAGAGAGCATGGAGGTCCAACACCTAATGCGGCATGTAGCGATGTTGGCCCTCAGTGCGACCATTAAGAATACATGCCATCTGCCTTTTGGGGAATCCAGTTCAGGCAATAAACAAGCTAAACTCTTGACCAAGAATTTTCAGGAAGAGGTTTAAGGATGTTTGTGTTCTAGAACACTGTATTTTAATATCTCCGTGGACACTTTGCCACAAGGTAGCTATTTCCGCAAGTCATTAGGCATGCATGTGGTACTGGCAAAGACCCAAACTACTGCCACAACCTGATGGAGTATCAAACACGTCAAGCGGGATTGGATAGCACAGGTTCAAAATCTGTGATAAATGACAGAATATCCAAATTAAAATCAATACCATGACATTTATGATCTGTTTATTCATACGTCAGTGACAGACCATCTCTGTCCTGTTTCTGCTCTTTAAGATGCACCACGTATCCCAGGTTTCATCCCTGGCTGCTGTCATCCATTGCAGATTAATTGTCACCCTGATATAGCTCCCGCCTCTGCTGACAGAACACTAATAAAAGCATGAAGAGATACAGGATAACAATGTATCTGTTTTATGCCCTTTATCCTCAGTTATTTAAAATCTTACTGCACTAAAAGTGTTTTATACCCCAAATCATTATTTTGCAGCTCTATTCTGCACAGGGCTGCTATGGCAGGGTATTAATAGTTTATTGCAGGTTCTGTCATTGAGTGACATTGCTGCTATAGGCATAAGCTTTCTTAAATGCCTTTGTTCTTACAAAATGCCTTGCAAAAGTCAAGATTTAAGCTATCTCAGATATTGTATTATGCTGTCCTTGTGTATCTGTCAATGGGAATTTAAAATCTTTTTTTTACATAGGTAATACAGAATTAAAAACTTTACTGAATGACCAGCAGGTGGCATTCTTGTATCGCATCAGCCATACACTGTCTCATTGGTATAAATGGGAGTGAGGCAGGCGATAGATGAGTTCAAGACAATATTTTGCTCTACTCTAAGATATGCATAAATGTGCCATACACTCCGCCCTCCCCAACATACACAAAAAAAACCAAACTAAAAACATGTCGAAACAGTTGTCGAATATTAAAGTTTTATCTGCAACATATGCCAAGTTAGATTTTGCAAATCTTCAATATCAATATAAAAATTACTTCTTTTTTAATCATGAATGCCATCATAGTTATTCATTAAACCAAAATTGTGGAAAACTGCAGGAGGAAATTTGCAGTTTTATTTTCGCTTGAACATTTTTTTTAACTAAAGGATACGATACAAAAAAATCCAAAAGTAAGATAAAATGCTTCTGAATAAGCAAAATTAACATAAAACAAACAAACAAACTCAACACAACAGTGCATGGATAACGAAATATACTAAATCATAAGGTGTCATGATGACACAATGTATCTCAGACCATAATATGTTTTCAAGAACAGTCTTTGAAATTCTGGAGAAGTGGTACCTTGTCATATATCTATATCTATATATAGTATATACACACACAGCTCAATAGGGCCTTAGGGTACGTTATATAACGCTGGCCTCACGGGGGCAGGGGTGCTGGATATAGAAGGGACCAGAAATTGTAACTTATTTATAAAAGTATCCCAGAAGGTCCACATTGTTGCATAGGTTCAAGGCATCCCAAACTGATGGGACATCACTTGTTTGTAGGAAGCATTACGTGAGATATGGTTGATGAGGGCAGTACAGGATGCAATATTAGGAGATCCCAGCTTGGACAGCAATAAGAATGTGAAACACCAACTTCTGAATGTGTTTGGAGTTGCCTTTGGAAAACATAAAGAGTAGGAAACATTCTGGTGTACGGACAGGAGAGGCAGAAGCTGGAGGCAGAAATATAATCCCCTCAAAAAAAAATATATTTTATCCTAAAATTTCACAAGTAAATTCTCAGCTCACTGTCTGTCCAGTCTATAAGATTTCAGTTGGGTATGTGAAAATTTAAAGGCACCCTCCTGGCACGATTACAGCTTCATCAGAATTGTACCAACTTACCTTTAGTTCATTCCAGTGTGTTCCTTTTATATCTTTGGTTCATTTAATTTACTTCTAACACAAAAACACAATTCTAGGCAGTCTATAGTTTTTGCAGGTATGGTATTTATTAGTGGCTTCTTTACCTTGGCTATCAATCAGTTGTGCTCAGATGTCCCATCAATTTGGGGTGCCTTGAACCTGTGCACAAATATGGTCCCTCTGGGATTCTTTTATAGATAAGAAACAACCTCCGACCCTTCTACATGCAGCACGTCTGACCTTGTGAGGCCAGTTTTATCGAATGGCTAATCATATAGTTGATATCAGTGTGATATGTGAGCACTGACTTTAGTGGATATGCTCACTTTTACAGCTTTATGCTCATCTTTCAGGATGCTTTTACAATTACAATAATATTTTGTAACAGATTTTCAGAGAAGATATATACTTAATGCAAATAGAAGACTTTTTAATGTTGGTTATTATTCTGCAAATGTATATATAAGGATTTATTTAGAGATGTTTCTTCTTGTAGACAAAAATAAATAAATTAATCTTTAGTATTATTGTAAATTATATATATATAATCTGGACAATGTTTTGATAGGCCAGTGGAAAATGCTACTATCTACGGATTATTATTATTAATATATATATATTTTTACATTTAGTGGCAAGGAAATAATCAGAGGGATCAGTCCTGGGTCTATTTTACATACTAAAAACATCTAAATTTACAATAAGGGTAAGAGATCCCTACTTGGGCACCTTAAAGGAATACTATGGCGTTAGGAATACAAACATGTATTCCTAATGCTATATAGTCCTGCTACCTATTTAGGCCTCCCACTGCCGTGTAATGGTTTGAAAGGTGAGCTTTATTGCCTTTCAGTCCACCCCGCGCCGGTCTCCATCATGCTGCACTGCATTCTCCGTAGGGAAACATTGGGAGGCTAGTGCGCATGTGAAGCAAAACGCCGTCTGACCATCTGAATAGCTGAATAGCTGCGTTTCACTATCAGTGTGACACCCACTAAAGCAGGCTTCCCCAAACTCTGGCCCTCCAGATGTTACTGAACTACAACTTCCATGATTCTATGAATGAAATAGGCTGAGAATCATGGGAGTTGTAGTTCAGCCATCTGGAGGGCCAGAGTTTGGGGGAAGCCAGCACTATAGGCATGATAACCCTGTAATAAAAACATTGCTGACGAAAGGGAAAGTTTTTAGTTGCAGGATTAAAATTACAGGTCCATGGCACTGGGACCACATCACTGCTATAAATGGAGTGCCAGCACTATCACAATAACACAATATTCTTTTTAGCTAACTCCTGGCAGGCTGAGCATTATATGTAACTCCCCAATTATTACTACTTTTCCACTTGTGAGTCATAGTTGAGGGTGTCCAATTAGTACCGTTTTGCTGCCTAAAACAATTCATCATGCACAGTCTTCGTGATTATTAGTCTAGATATAA